AATCTTTTCCTATCTTTTCACTCATCCAGGATAAATATGTTCTTTTTAGAGGAATGAAATCTTACTGATTTTAAATTGTACAGTTGAAGGGAAAAATAATCATAAAATATACTGTTAGTAATACTAATGCTTTCAATATTGTAAATGATTTTTTCTTGTTAAACTTGAACATAGATTATTGATAGATATAAGAAGTTAATACTGGGTGTATTTTTATACAGATTGTCATTCATTTTCAGGTAAAAGTGTTGTATTCAGTTTCAAAATTACTCTCCTTTCAGTTTACATATTTTTAAAATATACATTATGATTATTGACCTTTTATTCACAATTTTATCAACTCATTATCTAATTCATAATTTTCACTGTGATATCTGAACTTTTTTTTAATATCACTGTTCCACTATTTGTCTTTCTGTTAATAGGATGCATACATTAACAATTTACACTAGGTACCTCCATAAACACGTGCTAGCTAAGGTTTAAAATGAATTTTTAAAAATGAAAATTCTTTCTTGAATCTTTTATTTTAGTTTTAATTTCAAGCTACTAGATTAAATTTAATATTTCCAATAAGAAAATACTTTGCTCTATTTCAAAACTAATTTAAATTCATTCAAAAGAATTTATTTTGAAATCACTTAAAACACTGATTTTAGCGCCATTGTTAGCCATCTGTCATCACAATGTAATTCTCTTTATTAAAGAATCTTTCAAAAATATACTTTTCTGAAACTTTTTTTGAGGAATATTAGCTGATTTAAAGTTTAATTAATCTGATCTAAAACAAATATTACTACTTTAAGTTTAAAATACCACAGCAATTCATTTTTTTAACATGAAAGAAGTTTTTTATTTCAGGTGTTGACAGCTTGACTGACAGATCATGGCTGTTTAAAAGCCTTGTTTTTGTCATATAGGAAAATCCAACATGGCACGTAAACGAAATATTCGTTGGAAAATCGCATTCGTCACTAACATTTTAAACACCTCATAGAATGTAAAGTTCTTAAAGCAAACCTATACCAAACTGTTTTCCTGAATCCTTTGGCTGTCCAAAAATGACAACATCAAGATGAAATAATGGAAACTGACCATGAAAAACACAATTATGCGTAACAAGTTTTTGATCAATCAGTAAACTTCTGGACCTTTTCAGGTGCCATTATAGGATCCAGATGGCTATTGTTTGCACATGGAATTATTCACTGGTAATTAATCTTCAATTTGTCTGTGGAAAATGTCACTTATTTTTTAGCATTAAGAAATTATGCCTAATTTATGAAAAATAATTTTTTTTCATGAAAAAATATTAATAAATAAAAAACTTCATCCATTTTGAATTTCTTTATTTGGTGTGAACATCATTGAATAAAAGGAACGGCTAAAATGGGCCAACAATGGGAAATATGAAAGACATGCGGCGAAAAAAAAACAATGTTTTTCGTCTGCTAAGCTGTTGTTGTCATCACCCAGGTAATGAAAATGAATAAAAACAAAACTAAAACACTTTCATGGTAATTGTTCAAACATAGGTTTGAAAGGGGGTAAAAAAACCTTATATTCAAGTTTACCAATAAAATCCTTTTTTCATCGTTTTGCTTTTAACTGAAGTGGTGGGTTTTATTACAAGCTGACGACAACTTGTTCTAAACATTTATTGCCAATATAAGTCAATTTGGCTTAATTTTCCTTATCACTGCTATTTTTTGGGGAAAAAAAAACTTGGTTTCTGGTGGTCAGTAATTGCAGATAAATCTATCGCCTTTTTCCATGGCTGTGTGTCAATTTTTTTAACCCCTGGCAGTCATATAATTGAAAATTACCAATGGACTTTGTTTTTTTGACCCCTTAGGAATGTTGATTTCCTTCAAAACTCAATTTTATGCCTGAAATAGTTTGATTATGATTTAGGCAGTTTCTGATAAAAAAAAAAAGTTTTAATTTCCCATTAAATTTGGGAAAATTTAGAAAAAATGCAAAATTCATTACTGTTTTTTTTTTTTTTTTTACCCCCTGAAAAAAATTTTGATTTCATTTACAAATGGCCAATTTTATTTTTTAAATGAAAGAATATATCCTTTACTTTCAGAAAATACCTAGTTCCATGGGGTTCAGATCAAAAGTTTCCTTGATATTTGTTTAGATGATGATAAAACAGTCATTTTTCAATATTTTTTTTTTTATAAAAAATATGAAAATCCATTTTTGAGAGAAAATTTTTGCTGTGACAAAATAACTTTTGCCATTTTTTGTGAATGATTTTTAAAAAAAAAGAAAATTTTTTACCATAGCAAACCTTCAATTGACTTTAAGTTCAATGGGGTTATAGGAAACCTCAAACAATTATGATTTTTTTATATTATCAAATTTTTTCTACAGGAGACATTTGTAAAAATTACTTGAGGAATATAATTGGAGCACTTTTGATATAAATTTTAAAATTTTGCAATCTTGAAAATTTAAGATAATAAAATCAAAATTTAATAAAATTGAAATT